AAACAAATAAATAAACAAAGTAGCATAATACCTAAGTAATAAAAAATTACTTACGGCAAATTTTATATGTATATGCCATTAAAAAAAGAAAACAAAATAACACTGAAGTAGGACACGTTTACTACAAGAAATAGTTAACGCACCAGTGTTGTAAATTTGAAACTAGGAAATACCATAATTTGCTAAAATGTAGTATAATTTGCTAAAATATATTATAATTTGCTAAAATGTATTATAATTTGCTAAAATGTATTTGCTAAAATGTATCAGAATTTGCTAAATTTGTTGAAACGAATAATGTGAAATAAAATAATTAAAATGGTTTTGCGACGTTTCACAAGTTACACGCGCACTATAGTTTATCAAACTCTAGCGTAGAAGACATAAATTTTGTTTATATTTCTTTTTTGCTAAAGCCTATTGTTACTATTGTACTAATTTAATCAAAATTTTATAGCCATATTAACTTTTTCGTTTAATGTAATTTTCAGTAATGAAAGTTTTTTTTTAATCAGAAGACATTTCACAAGTTAGATATTTCAAACATGGTAGCCTTTTGCATTATGAAGTGTGGTTATTTATATATTTTAAACACATAATTCTTAAAAATTCTTAAAAAGTAATTCGAATTTTCAGAATGTTTTTAGAAAATATAGTATTTCAGATGCAATAATTGGTAAATATGTAAAACTGTAAAGGTGGCGTTGCCATTATCAAGAAATTTTAAATAACATTTTTTAAGCATCCATAAATTTATTAAAAACAATTACATGAACAGCCTTTCACCAAATAGTATTTTAAAGCCTTTTATACTTTTTCTTAAGGTTGCCTATAATTAAACGATTTCTTCATCTTTTTATAATTTCAGACATTCTAAAGAACTGAGTAGGCATCTAGCAATTGTAAAAAAGTTTTAGAGATGATGTAATACAAATTACAATGATGATGTAACTATGTAAGTAAGAAATTTCTATTAGTGTAATAGAGTAATAGTGTAATGCCAACATATATGCCCTCTCAACTGCAACACAGTTCAAGTAAGTTTCGCAGAACAGAGTGCATAGTTGAATTATGTGTTAACAAACTATGTACATTAAATTTGACAATTTTGGTAGAATAATGTCTCATTTAAAACTGGGCGTCATTAGATGACTTTAATCAGTGCAGTAGAATTCCCGTGCACTCACTTCAAAGAAAATTACGGAGCCTTCACACAGGAAGCTAATATGACACGAGAGGTATTCATTTCGGTGAAATATTCAGCGTACCACTGTATTCACAGAACGTAACGAACTCTTTAACTATTTAAATACCCCTCCGACTTGAATTCACTAAGTTTGATATAAACTTAACCTTTATTTTTAGAAGCAGCAGCGCATCTCTGGGCGTATTTCGAGGTAAATGATAATTTGAAAAGCTGATCTTTTGTTGTTTTCGCTGTAGCTACAAAACACGACAAAGTAAAACATGTAATTGGATTTTACATAAAACAGAAGTGAAGGAACGGCTGATTTTGAGCGACTTCAAAAGTAAGCGAACAAAGTGTAGGAATCCAAAACACGACATTTTTAACTCAAAAATATAGCTGTAACTTTATTAAAAAGAAACGTAACAAAACGTTAAATACTTGTCTTTAACCATACACCAATCAATAAAATTAATACTTTTTTCTACTCCCACGTGTACCTATATTCATTGTTTTCTTTACAACTTGCTAAATGGATAGGTAGACAATATCAGTCTACTGAACTGATATAATTCATTATACATACTAGTGTGGATATGAAATCTACCAGTCAGTGTGCGTTAAATATACAATTAAATGTCATTTTTAAATTTAAAATTAGAGCATAATTTGTCAAATTAGGGTACTATCTCGTTACATTTTACAATTTACCGAAGAAAATATTTAAAAGGAATGATTCCAGTGCAAAATCAATAAATTGCACCCCACCTGACATTTGAGAAGGACAAATGAAACATACGAAGCATTATTACCCCAGAAATCAAAGAGACATTGTTTTAACTATAACTGTCGTTGGACGAAGTGAATGCGTTTCTGTCGACAACGAGTAGGTTCAGGGTTCGAAACCACCCGCCAACACTATTCCTTTTTCTATAAATATATTTCTTAAATATGTAATAATTTTGATAAAATTGTAGGTGGTGTTAATTTTTGGCATTTCTGGGGGATGCCGTCGCCAGGAATTAAAAAAATTTGAAGGTAAACCCTATAAGGGATCTACAAAATGAATTACAAGTAAAATTAATACATACAAAAATAAAAACAGATCGATCATTTGTAATTCCTGGTATGTTTTACGAGCTGTCTAAAGAATATATGCTGCTTAGACTGTCTGATACGGAATAATTTTTTGTGAGCAACCAAACGGATAAATGTGTGAAACAAATAGTTGGGATTAACAAAATTGGTAATCAACCCAAAGTAATTGCTGAATTTTAAAGCTACCGAATGCAAATCTATATATGTACGGGACATTGTTTCCTATGTTCTGGCGCCACTATCCTTGCAGATACTGGAGGTGACACCCTAACAGTTAAAAATTTTGGTGGCTCGAAATCAACAGCAGTAATGGAAACTTATATAGAATATTCTTTAAGTACGAAAAAACAAATTGCCACTACCATCGTACAATCAGTTGATGCCACAAAACGGGAAGTAAACATCATTGGTAGGTATAATCTCTAATATATAAAATTCTCGTGTCGCGGTGTTTGTTAACAAACTCCTCCGAAACGGCTGGACCGATTTTGATGAAATTTTGTGTGCTTATCGGGCAGGTCTGAGAATCGGCCAACATCTATTTTTCATACCCCTAAATGTTAAGGGGTATGAAAAATAGATGTTGGTAGATGTTTGGTCCACCCCAATTTTTTTTTTATTTTTTGAACAAAATTTTATTTTTTTATTTTTTATGATGTGGCCTTAAAAAATACATACAATCCTAAATTTTCACCCTTCTACCATCAACCCTTATTTTTTAATAGCGATATTAGTAATTCAATAATTTTCAACCCCGGTCGATAACTGATCAATTATCACTTGATCATTTTTTTATTCCCGCCAGGCGTCGACCGGTGCCACTTCTGACCCAGCACGGAGTAGGGATGAGATCTCCCTCACACAATAAGCCGTTTCTCACTCCCTACAGTTTTCGGCCATTATTATTATTGTTTGTGCATCAACCGTAATAGTGACATTTACTATTATCATTAATAAAAAAAATATACACGATATTCACTGAATAACACTAAATATAATATAGATGGTAGAAGTGAAATTTCTTTATGAAAAATCTACTAAAATAAACCTAGGAATAATTTATATGGCAAAACAACGTTTGCCGGGTCAACTAGTAAAAATATATAAATATAGATTTATTACAATATATTTTCAGATTTATTTATTTTTTGGCATTCACTTCCCTTCTAGTTATTTTAATACTAAAAAAGTTATCTTAAAACTCGCGCCAGAAACCATCTTTAAGAAAACTGTTTATTGGCCAAAAAACTTCGTCATAAACATCGTTATGCATGAAGCCACTGCTATAATTTTATGTCAAAGGAAGTAAACTTCTCTTATACGAGAATATAAATTTCCACAAAGTTTCCTATATGTATATAAATCAAATATTTGGTAATAAATTTTATGCATATAGGATAGTGGTTCAATGCTGTATTTGAACAAAGTACGAACTTAACCAAACTAAATTTGAATTGACACAAACAGTGGTAAAATAAATAGTGGTAAATTTTGGTACTAATTTTAAGTATAAGTATTAATTTATATTTTTTTCTTTTAAAGAAATGATTTGACGTTTATTTTATTTATCAGAAATTCATATGGCTGTATTTATAAATGGAATTAACAACCTTTCTCCCTGTTAAGTAAGATGTATTTTCACTCAATAACTCGTTTAAAATTATGCTGCTTCATTAAATCTTTAACGATCCATTAAATCAGATAAAGAACTGCGTTAGTTAAGTTCTGAATTATCTAATTAATATTTTTTTCACATATGTTACATTCAAGAAGGATAATATGAATTTGTTGAATAGTATTTTCTCTTTTGCAACGTTTGTATTCTTGAAAAAAAGAATTCTTTCGTTATCAAAGTAGTTTTATCTATTTAAGCAAAATTTGGTAATAATGTGGAAATATACTATTACAAGAAACTGACATCTGTCCAACTATTTCAGATATTATCTTATTCATTCATGAATTTCTTAAAAGAAATTTAAAAATAATGAGAAATGTCCAATCGCTCGTTACATTACTCCACTAAATATGGTTGGAACCTTTAAATAAAATACATGAATGAACTTAAAAATTTGTAATGATTTAATGTTCATCTGTATTCAGTTATTGCCAGATTTACTATTTTAAACTATAAATTTAAACATTGTACAGTCCGTACGATATTTATTGAGACATAATTCCGAGAAGACCCTTGCGTCAGTTTCTTGGAATTAACCGCATTCGACACCCGAGGTAGAAAGACATTACCGGCGTGGTGTTCACCGTAGCAGCTTGCAGTGCATACTGTGTTTTGCAGTTACGAGGACGTGTTTCTTCGTTAGTGTATCGGCCTGCGCATTTTCAGTGTAATTTCTTATTAAAATAACAAAATAAAAGAAAGGAATTAAATTCTTAGTCGAAAAATATCGTGTTTAACGTGTATATTAAAACAATTTTTCCAGCATAACGCGGAAAATTTCAAGGCACGCCTATGCTGCGGTAAATTGTTACAGTAGTTCCTATAACAGAACTTTATTGGCTTCTTGGAATTCTATTTCAACAAATATTAGGTATATGGACTGCACATAAATGTAAATTAAACCAACTCCTGTCGTATATATACGTTGCTCCCAAATAGTGCTTCCCGACATAAAAATATTCCCTCCTCCCCCCTTGGAAGCAATAGTAATTCCTAAACTATTAGCGTAAAAACACGTTCGGCAATTATAGGCGGACTTACCCTGCTTTTCTAACGGCGCCAGTGCAGTTGAAAGAAGCCGCCGCCGTTCCTGTCTGCTTCGCTTTATAGGGAGAGTTCATAACGCTCTCGCCATCATCCTCGTCAGAGACGGCCGTTGTCAAGGACATACGATCATCGTCTGATATCTGAAACGAAGAATTTTCATTAGAACGTTATTGGCATTCGATTTTTCTATAGCACTCCGGATGATTGGTACAGCGACTTTCTTCGTATTGAATAGAAATAATTACAACCTAATATTTGAGATACGAGTTGCCGTGACAGTTTGATGTTTAAATTTGTATAGGTACCTACTAAAGTCCCTAGATACTGATAAACTACCGCAATTAACTGCCGTGTTGGGGCGAAGTCCCTATCGCCAACGTTGAAACTTTTAGTAGTTGATTAATTTTTACATATTTTGAACAATTATTCATCATGCAATCAATACAGCAATTAAATTTTAACAGTTTTTTATATAATTAACACAAATTGACATATGTCAATTATATCGCCATTATGGGGTAAACAAGAACATTGGTAGCGGTACTTGGTCAGAGACTTTGTATTATATACAATAATTTAGTTTATAATTAAAAATCGTTTGAACGGTATTTGAATCAAGACAGTTTAGGCGCGGTAACTATCATAACGATAGCAACCTAATAAACATAAACATTAGTTGTTTGAAAAAGTAGTGTCAGAATTATATATTGCAGTTCATATTCTAAGAGTTTCTAATTCAAAATGAGCTCGGAAAGTGAAGACCAGCATTTACCAAGAGAAGCATTGGAAGCGGAACAAAGTGCTGTTTCACACTGAATCCCCAGAAAATCAGACAGTACGAGATTGCCTACAATGAATTCAAAGGGTGATGTAGTTCGAAGAAAATTCAAAAAGTGTCCTTCATATATGACTCATGGTTTTCGATAACCATGAGTTTGAAGATCTCGTTATTTTTACAAATTTGCCATATTTTAGATTTTCATCGATTTTTTGAAGACTAGACGGTGATGGAGCAAATCTAACATTGGATTCAGATTCAGAAGGTAACAATACGTCCGAAAACATATGCCGCATATCAAGGTCTCGTCACTTTTCAAATTTCTTCCTTTTTCTGAAGATCTCCAGCGATTTTTTGAAGAGTAGAGGGTTATGGAGTAATTCTGACAACGGATTCGGATCCAGGAGGTAAAATTACGTCGCAAAATATGTGTCACGTGTTAAGATCTCGTCACTTCCTAAATTTCTCCATTTTACTGAAGATTTTTAGCGATTTTCTGAAGATACTCAGCTATTTACGGAAAACTGAAGGGTGATGAAGACTATGGATTCGTGTTCAGGAGACAAAAATACACGGGAAACCATATGCCGCATGCCAAGATTTCGTCACTTCTCAAATTTCGCCCTTTTTCTGAAGATCTTCAGCGATTTTTTGAAGACTAGAGGGTTATAGAGTAATTCTGACAAACGGATTCGAATCCAGGAGGTAAAATTACGTCGAAAAACATGTGTCACATGTTAAGATCTCGTCACTTTCTAAACTCCATTTTACTGAAGATTTTTAGCGATATTCTGAAGGTATGTAGGTAGGTATGGAATCGGGAATTCTTTATATAGAAGATTCTATACAAAATAAAATTTCAATCGCAAATAAGTTACCATCTTCAGCAAAGCCTACGGAACTTGCCAATATTATAACGTGCGCAGTGAACTTAAACAATTACATCAGCAGCCTCATTGAAGACCCAGAACTAAAAGCTACGATAACTGACAGCACTGGATCTGGCATAAATTTAACTCAATGTAATATCGGCACTTTCAATTTACATGTAGTGCAAAATAAATTGTAATCGTTCTGTTTATAACAGTTATTGTCTTGTATTGAAATGTTATATTACTTAACATGTATATTGTTTAATTAATAAAATCGAAATAGTTTCGAAAAAATGACAAATTATTTTGAGATTTCTTTCATGTTCTAGAACGAAAAAAACATTGGCATTATAGAACATAAAAGTATTTTGCAGCTAGGTCACAAAAAAGACCCACCACACTGACAACTTAACGAAAATGTCGATTTTCGATGACAGTTTTCGAAAAAAGTGTTTTTCTCGAAACTACGTTTTCTGAACTTGTGTAAGCTCTAGATCTTGAACCCAATAAGATATCGACCTTTTTTTTAATTTCAAGTAAATTGATATTTCATTGAAGGGTGTACTAACAAAATAGGAAAAAAATATTTTTTATATTCTTTGTAACACCTTATAAAAAATTGTAAAAGCGAAATTAAAATGCGTATGCCCATCGTTTTTTTTTCTTTTTGAGTTTTTATTGATTTGATCAGTAAGTATATCCTCCAACTACGGATACATATTTAAGACAAAATTTTTGATTTTCGATTTCATATAAAAGTTACGACTTCTACAGCTTACACAAAGTGGATCTCTTTTTTTAAAGGTGATAACGACGCGCGACATATTACTGGTTACCACGACAGTATTTTCTACAACAATTTTTTTCTTTCACTTAGATAGTTAATAAAAATGCAGCAAACAATCCCCAGTATTGTATTTGTATCCTCACAGAAAAAAAGTCCTGTAAATTGTCTTATTTCTTTATTAACTAAGCAATAACAACTACGTTGCCATTACAAAATGTCAACGTGACATCCGCTCGCTAGATAAATTACAGTTCAATAAAGTTTCTACCCTATGCCGATTATGCCATGCAATTTATTTTAAATAAATTAAATTTTTTGCTCAGAAATCGTTAATTTTACGAAGCAATTACAAAAGGCCTTTTTTATTTAGAATGAATCACGCTATCCTAAATGATAACGTAGTCATAAGAAAAAAAGTTAGGTACGTATGGAGCAAGTTTTAGGGGGGAAAAATCAACATATTGCTTAGGTACTGAGTGCCTTCTCGATAGCAGACAATGTCTATTTAATTTCATTTCTGTAACTTTTTTGGTATTTCAGAAAAAAATTAAATACTACTTCAAATAGGATTTTTTTTTTATATGAAAGATCCACCTTATTTTTCCACAGGAAATCACTCCCTGAACTTTTTCGCACTTATTTTTTGACATTTATTTTTACCCCAATATTCACGATCAACCAACATAACCGATTATTATCATTATTTATAATATTCTACGTCTTAAAAGTGTTAAAAAATCGAACCACCCTATACAGGGTGTTTCTAAAATAGGGTTCCAAACTTCTGCTGCGTTTATAACTCATTAAAATAAGCCAAAAAGTTCGTATTAACATGTGCCCTAAAACGCACCCTTAGGAAGTTATATGCCCTTAAAAGGGCTCAAACATATACTTAAATTTTCCACTCACCAGTTTTACTAATTAAACACTGCAAAGCTCAATTGACAGTTTATCAATAACTTAAATTGTTAAGCGTTGTGGCAACGTCAGTCTTTTATTTGCCATGGTAAACAGATTTTTGTAATTTTTGGCTTGATAACTTAAAGAGCAGAGTAATTTTCAAACTTAATTTATTCGAAAACCATTGGAAATATCGATTTGGACAAAGATAATATTTTTTACGTAAAATTGTTAAGATTTTATAAATCTGTAGAGAAAATTGTAAAAAAATTGAAATAAAAAAAATTACGGGCCGAAAACCCCCTTCACCAACCTAAATGGGACGCATATGATTTGCATGTCGAAAAACGGAGTAGCCCATGTTATTTAACGTAAAAAGTTATGTAAGACCCATACATTTTTTTCTATTTATTTGCGACCGTTTTGTCAATAACAGAAAAAAAAACAGTTTTTATTAGCCCTTTTAAGGGCATATAACTTCATAAGGGTGCGTTTTAGGGCACATGTTAATAGGAACTTTTTGGCTTATTTTAATGAGTTATAAACGCAGCAGAAGTTTGGAACCCTACTTTAGAAACACCCTGTATAATGTTAATCAAACCATTTAATAAAGAAATTACGATAATAACCAAACAATAATTAGTACTACCGTTAGCAGATAATGATTATAACAACTAAACAAATTAAATCTCCGTAATGGAAAAAAATGTGACTATTAAGGCATCTATAAATACGTCAAAAAACAACATCAAAATATTACAAACAGATTAGCGGAGTTACGCAGAATTTGAAAAGCCATATTTTCACCGAAAAGTATGCATATGAAACATTTTAATCCTCAGCTCTACAGATCTATTTACAATAATGGCGAATGCGCAGGTATCAAATAGCAATATTTTATACTAGGTTAATTGATTTTATAATCTTTGCCCAAACGACATTTTTCAATAGTTATAGTTACGATTATGTTAATATTTAATGCACACAAAGAATACATATGTAATTAGTACTTGTAATAGGTATTTTTCCGGTGATACATTTATTAAACATATTAATATATGACTATCTATAATTATTTATTACTAAATAGTTTTTTAATACCAGTCGAAACAAATGTATCGCTTTTAACGGATGCGTAACTCCCGGATCATTAATAAATGTTGACCTAGCAGTGACACAATTTTTAATATCTACCAAAAACATAATATACGTGGCAACACAATAGGTTTTATGTAGATCAGGAAATTGTATATATGTGTCGGCGTAAAGAAATTTAATTTTTAGCATATTTATCACCGCCGCTTTTTTCAAATTCAGGTTTTACATAACGGTTTATTCTTTAGAGGGTGATATATGAAAGAACATGTAAAGCGAGAATATATTTGTGAGACTTCTCATTTTTCATGTGAATATTTTAGCTGTATTAATAATTCGGTTTTTGCAGTTATTTGTCCTCAGATAGAAAGTAGATATTAAATATTATTTATTAGATAAATAGGCATTTTTGGAGGTAATGTTATATTGCAATGAATTATAAGTAAATATCTTTGGAGAAAGTACCTAAATAAATTGTGTTCGACTCATACCACAAACGTGGCTACTCTTCCGGTTATACCGGAAGTAGTTGTCAATTTCGTTATTTTAAATGGAACACCTTATATGTTATTGCATTATCGACAAGATGATAAATAAGTAAAAAAATGTTAGAGCTTCCTTGTATCCAAATTTGACCGTTTTCGAGATAATCGAAATTTTATAAAAATTTTGACAGATGCAAACGTTTCG